CTACAAGCTTCAAAGGTTTAGGTTTTCTTTTGGAGAACATAGTACATTTAAACAGAGATTGTAAGCAGAATCGATCTGTGGACTTGGACTGAAGTTGTTTTTGCTGTCCTTTGCATTTTTTAGTACACAAAAGAGATTATTTTCATCAACTTTGGTAGCAATATATTTTGCTATTTTTTTACGTTTCATATAACCACTCTGTCACATAGACTGGGTTTAGTACTGTTGCTAATGATATTTTTTAATGTAGCCAGATGCAGGCTACTTATAAATGGAGAAAATGAGACATTGTCAAAAAAGAATTTTCGCCCCACTTTATGTTTAAGAACAAGGCTACTACATCACCTTTTGCAGATAGATGGGGATCATCCTTCCTGTTAACAAGCAGAGGATCTTGGGACCTGTAGTCCCGCAACTAATATTCACTGGTAAAAACTGGTAAACTCGCTCTCTTGTCTTCAGTTGGGTTGGGGTGACAAGATTGGGTGGACAATGCAATTTTGCTTGCAGCTGCACGGAGCCTCAGTGGCCAAGCCAAACACCAGCAACAGATTCTCTACCAATTTGCTATATTGTTCATGGTCCAACAGCATCTCACATTATCCCACCAAGAGCTTCCCGCTGCTGTCAGCAGTCTAAGAAACCAGAGACACTCACAACTTCTCTTCATTGCTACCCGCTGCTCTTATCAGCACATCTACAGCCCACTGTGTAACTCCTGCCTCATCTCGCTGTGAAGCCAAAGCCAACTCAACTCCCTTTACAGCACCAGACACTGACTTCTAATCAGAATTGGTGAGAGGGCAGCAGTCTTTGCTCTACTCTGTTTGCACAAGAACACTGCTAGCATATAATATATATATATATATATATATACATATATACTATATATATATATATATATATATATATATATATATATATATATATATATACTCAGCCAAGAAGACTGTGTTTCTTTATCCTTCCTCTCTGCACACCTGACTATCCTCTGCCTTAAAGGGCCCCAGCTTGCTACCAGAACAGCCTCCACCATGAATTGACTCTTCTCTTTACCATTCACAAATTTTCCCCAATATTCCAAGGGGTGCTTTTCTTTGCTCATACTGAGCACCTGCCGCGTTCTTTAGCACCAGTAATTGTGGGAATTTTGTCTGCTTTTGCTAGTCCTCCTGCCTACAGCCAGTGTTGTATACTCCCTAGGCACCACTGTTACCAATATCATGTCACTCAGTGGTTCAGTGCAATCTGTTACCCTATTTATCCATTATCATCTGTGTTCTTACTGCTTAATAAACTCTGACTGTGAAATACTGCAAGCAGATTGTGTTTCTCTGAGTGTTGACTGAAATTGTCTTGAAATACACAATATACCTGTGATAGCTAAAACTTGCGTTCATTGCCTTTACTTTGTGCAGGATAATAGTTTGTCTAAACCATGGCTGAACCTAGAGTGTCAAAGGGGTCAAGGGGCATCATAAAGTGGCCTTTCCACGGGTAGAGCTACATTAAGTTGGGTTTTTTTTATTAAAGAAAAGTTCAACCTGCTTTGCTGACATTTCTTTCTGAGAGGTACAGAGGCTAAAATTGATTTCTCCTTCTGCAAATGATGGTTGTCTGGCTATCATTATAATCCTCTTGCTTCAGTACTTTGAGTAACTAATGCAGAACACATATGTAGATAAGGACATTTGACTTTGGTCAGAATTTTCAAGTTTGTAAACTTGTTTCAAGCCTGTTGGTCAGCATAATGGCCAAGCAACTACTACTTTCTATAAGAGGCCAATTCTAGAAGGCCCCACATATTTCTCAGGAAAACTTTAACAATGCAGAAATGAGTGAGCAGGACAGAGTGTGCTGAGATCCACTAGACTGAATTTACCACTTTACCTTGTTCTGTTAACCAAGCTAAAATCTATTCTAATTTTGGATAACTATGACATTTAATACCTATATTGTAAGAAGTTACCTTGGGATACAGAGAGCTCTGCTAGTTTCTGTGGTAGATCAGTGGCTTCTGCCCCTGCTGGGGAACCCAAAATGTCTGGTAAGGCATTGCGGCGACCTGATCTTCCTGATGCTGCAAAATCTGGGACCCCAGGCTCCACATCAGTCATTGCTGGCCTTTCTTCATAGCAACATCTGTAAGAGACAAAAGGCAAAGTCAGAATGCTGCTAGAGGGAACAAAATATTTTAATAGAGAAAATAATGACCATGCATGATCTGTTTGGGTTTTCTTGAATAAATCAGAAGCTTTTGCCAAATGCTGAAATCATTAAAATGCATCTAAACCCTAAGGCCCCTTTTACACAAAGGTTCTGATCAGGTTTGCCTGGCAGTTTTTCAGGCAGACCTGATTGAATGGTCCATTCACCCCTATGGAAAGGTGGGTGTAAACAAACTTATGTCCCTTTACACCCACCTACCTCTGATCCGGTTCACTGAAAAAACACGGAAGGGGGTCCATCCTTCTTCATCTAGGTGGACCAGATCGGAGGGCAGTCAGGTGTAAATGTACAGTGGAGTTTATTTTAACTAAGTGGACATGGACCTGTCATTGATTGGCTCTGAGGAAGAGGTACAACCTCGAAACGCGTCAGCCATCAGCTATCCAGAGGTCTACAGTCCCCCACCAGACTACCTTCAGGGGTATTGGACCACACTGCATCTCTTGTGACATGCTTTCCATTTGATTTTATTTCTCTTGTGAGTATTTTATTTTTTATCAATAAATCTAATTTTTAAAGGTAATGCACTAGGCCCATGCGCCCTCTTTTTGTCTTTTCATATACCTGTCATGGATACCCTGATATGGATCAGCAGACAGATCTCCGCTCAAAATGGAGTCCACCTTGTGTGAAAGGTGCCTAATTGGGTGACAGTCATTTTGGTAAAACACAAAACAATTATTTTGCTGATAAAATACTGTTTTCATCTCTTCTTTATCATTTGTTAGAACAGTAATTTTGACCCCTTCTCCCCATCCCCTTTCATCAGTCTTTTTGCAACCATTTTCTGTCTACATGCATGTCCTTCAGTGTCTGCATGTTTACTGCTCAGAGTGGGCTTTCTGATATTGATAGCCATGGAACATGCCCGTGCAATGACTGTCAGCACAGCAGTGTATAATCTCCACTGAAAGCTCATGTAGCAGGTTGACAACGCAGGTTACAATAGGTAGACAGGAGTGTTGTCACCACATAACTGGAATTACAGATACAAGGGCCTTGTCAGGGATTATTTTAAAGAAGGCTTCAGTTCTACAGCCCAACTGAACTTTAAGTTTAAATCAGATAAATACATTTTAGACACATCAAAACAAAAGCTGTGTAAAGTCTTACAGTTTTATTTTCTCTGGAAAGCAGCCACGTCCTGCCGGCGTGCTGCAGAGAATGACCCTGGCTCTCCTAACGCTTCCTGCTGATTGGAGAGCTGTACATCTGGCTCAGCAATTGGCATGTCATATTCCTGCAGAGAGACTTTGTCCACACAGAAAACAAGGGTGCATGCTGGCAGGGGACAGGCTTTTCTACCCAATCCATGGGTGCTTTCTTAATAGGAATATCTGTAAGACTTCAAATAACTTGTTGCTGTTGTTTTAAAGTGGTAGTATATTCTATTTTTATACTTTTACCGACAGGTAAGCTTATAATAATGCTTACCTGTAGGTAAAACTAATATCTCCTAAACGTTCACCATTTAGGAGATATTCCAGTGAGAAGCAGCCGGTGACATCACCAGAGCATACATTCTGAAGGCTCAGCATACTCATTACATATCTTCAGAGCTCTATGCCAATGGCCGTGACTCCCGCACGCATGCACAGGAGTGACATCATCGCGGCTCAGCCATTCAAGCAGCTACAAGGAAGACCGGGTAAAGATGGAAGCCTCTGCAGCAGTGACAGAGTGCCATTGGAGGGCTTTGTTTCAAGGTGATTCTTTTATAATGTGATAGTATGTGATGTGGAGTAGCACATTTTGCCTTTACCTTGCAGGGGGAATTTTTTTTTTTTTAATTCACATTTACTACTGCTTTAATGCCCATGAATTGTATTTAAATGCTAAACTGAAAGGTCAATTGGACTTTTATAATATGAAGTTACAATAACATGTTAAAGATTATATGAATGTTAAGGGACTTGGTTTAGATCTACTTTAAAGGTACTTGCATATTCATTCGCTAGGATATGTAAGCATTACAGCAGTGACAACTTGCATTTGTATATATGTGTTGTGAATGAACATGATAATGCCAACATATTAGGTACTGTAAGATATATTGTTAGGAGCTTATATCCTAAACATTATACAAGATTATCATGCAAATATTCTATGTAGTTCATGTGTGTGGTTTCATGTATTGTCTAAGGACTAGATCTGTGTAGATGCACAGTATACACAGCTAACTTTGAAGGCATTTATTGTGTGAGACATTTGGCTGCCTAGATACCACGTTACAATTTCCATAGAAAATAGCCAATGAATGTTAGACTCTAGTCCTGAGGACGTATGCTACCTGGGGAGACGCAGCATGAGTCATGTAACCTGCCTGAGTACTGCTTGTTGAAGCTTACTGACACTTGTTTTCTATGTACGGATGCAGCTCAGTGGTTATCATAGTAATCCATGGACATTGTATCACCTAAGGTAAAAAAAAAGTCTGCAGAATTTTGAATATAAACAAAAACTGCTATTAATTATAAAATCCAACAAATAGAAATTAGAGACAGGAATATAGGAGAAACCCTACAAAGGAGACACTAGCTTTGGCCACCTTGGTGACAACCAGGGATCCCCTCACTATGGAGAGGGGGAATCTATGATTGTGATTATATGTTTCATTTGTGGCAAACACTTAGGTAGCAACACTTAACGTGTGTTTTCTCCTTTGCATTGATGAAACCAGCTGATCTTTTTTATACATCTGTAGTTTATACGGATCTACTTTGTATGTAAACATTGGAATTATTCTTATTGAATGTCTGTGCTGTAAATTGCTGTAGCTTTCAATAAAGCTTTTGTAAAAGAAAAATCTGACAGGTGTTCTAATTGCTCTCCACTCTAGTCAAAACAAAACAAATTATAGATGTTATCTTGTGGGTCCAGCATACAGGATTTTTTCTGATTGGATGAGATGGGAATCATAATGTCACCCTCCTCCCTCCCTGCCTCATCCAATCAGAGAATAACTTGCTATCGAAAGAAATAAGCATTCCTTGAATGTCAGCAGTGCTGAGCAAGCAACCCTCTGTGATCAGTGTGAAGTGGGGCAGAGACTTAGCACCCGGAAGAACACAGTGATCACTAATAGCCACAACTACTACAGTAATTGTCAGTTTACACAGTGGCCCCTAAGGTATGAGATATGCAAAAAGCTGGCCCAATGTTACTTACCAAAAAGACATATACCAGTGTTGCAAAACTATCTTGTTCTACTTGTACTACAATTTAATGCTAAATTCAGTTACTAGTGCATTTGTAAGAGGTATAGAAAATAGGCAGCCCCATAAAATTTAAATCCAAAGCCTAATACTTAATATAACAGTAATCTATCTTTGTCAATAGAAGATACTAGTGATTGCATTTTTATTGTACCATCACAAGAGGGCAACTACTTCCTGTGATAATAGGAAGACACAGAAGTAGAACAAAAAGTCTAACACTTTGTTTCCTACAGGACAGTGATTACAGTGAATATATCCTGTCACATGTAATTAAGGGTTTTCTGTGTTTGTTACAGGTAAGCAGGAGGCTGTTTAACATGATAAATAGGACAAAATGACTTAACATGTGCCCTGGTGGTTAGTAAATGTCGCTGTTACTATTATGCAATCAGATTACTTGTAGCATAAATGTGAATATATATTGCAGCTATGTGATTTGGCGCTAAGATACAGGGAATGTGATTTCTCTATTGTAATACACTATTGTTATGCAGAATAGGTCACCAGCATATCTGCAGAGGTCTAGATATTCAGTTTTTGCAATTAAAGATGTTTATTAATGTATATGAAAATACTTATTAATGTATATGGAAATATTTAGTAATGTATAGAGGACAGTGATTACAGTGAATATATCCAGTCACATGTAATTAAGGGTTTTCTGTGTTTGTTACAGCCATTTCTAATAAAACACTTCTGGTTTCACCCGACCCATCCTTCGCACAGTTGAATTATTTACCGTATGTGCAACACATTTGTGTTGAAAAACGTGAAAAATGTATCAGTCATCCAGTCTAATCTACCATATAAAGCTCCATCTTGCTTGTCAGCAGCTAAATAGCATCTGTTTTCAGCACATGTTATAAGTTCCACCTGTTTTTAGGGTGTAACATATAACATGTTCCAGCATCTTCTCCCTCCCTGTGACAGCGAGTGGGGGATTCTCTCCCTGCACCTGCTGTCACAATTTGAAAACATTGAGGCCTTGCTGGACTTTGCCCACAAGTCCATGTCATTCATTCACAGTTTCCTGTGATGGGATAGACTACAAGTACCATCATCCATTGCGACTGATGGCTGGTAGTTCTCAATGAACTAAAAGTGTGTTGTTGATGCTCTCGTAGTTCAGTGACCTTCCTGCTCTCAAGTAACAGCTATCCTGAGAGTCTGCAGGGGCCAAACATTGCACCCGAGATCTGATGAAAACGGGGTGCAGTGCTCTGCGGGCTCTTTAGAAAAAAAATAAATAAATGCACATTTTTTTACCTGCCTAAAAATATGCATTTATTTTTTTTTTTTTTTCGAAAGGTGAAATTAGCCTTTCACACCCACTATAACACCAACAACTAACTGATGAATCAGCCACAAATTTCATAATTGCCCGTAACATCTGCTAGTTCCCAAGCACATTTTTTGTGCATCCATTTTTGCACACAGAAACAAAATTACATATAATGGCATAGGAGTGTTAAACATATAGTAAATCAGGTTCAATTGGAAAAAAGTTAGCAAGTGATAAAAGGCCAAAATAAGATATGCAAACTCATTTCTCCCTAAAGTCATGCCAAATGTACAGTATGTAGCATCGCAGTGCACCATTTTGTTTTGTTTACTGCCAATTTGCTCCTCCACTTTGAAAAACACCCCTTCTGGCAGTGGCCATGTTGAAT